ACACGTGCATTAGTTATAGAAATGGTGTCATTCTTTTTCTAAGGCTTCCTTTGTATAAAAATAGCATCCTTTCGATTCCCTTTTCAGTTCCTACTCGTATGAGTGCCTTCTCTAGAAACTTTCAGCATGCAAGAACTTATGTTACAAATGCTGCAGTATGTTGATGGGGTAGGAATGCGTGTTTTTTCAAAAACTTTTCCATCGCTTGCGTTTTGTACTTGCAGAGATTGAAGCGAATAGATTTATTTTTGAGCGGCCATGGTCAAGGGATTGCCAAAGAATGCATGTAGAATTTCTGATTTTTCCACGCTTTTTTGGCACTTCCCTGATCAGAGTCGCTCAAAGCTAAGTTTATTTCTACAGTCTTTACAAATGTCTCTATAAAACGCAAAAAACCATTTTGAAAAGCAGTGCACACCTTAGCGTCCTCCATGCCCAGTGATGAACAGAAATCGTCGAAGTTTGCTCGGAATGTTTTTTAGTGAAAGGCAACAACTGTGCTGTTTCCCTGTTTTTTTTGTTTTCACTATGTAGTTTCTTTTGTTTTTATTCTACCCTTTGTTTATTCCTGTTCTAATATACTATCTTTAGGCGAATGCAAATGGTACAGTGCTACAAAGCGAGATAGTAGGCTGCGTAAAAATGCGAGTGTATTTGACGGGTATGCCTGAACTACGTCTTGGTCTCAATGACAAAGTGCTGTTCGAGGGCAGTGGACGTGAGTTTTTGGAAACTGTTTCATGTTTAATTTTTTGCTCCTTGAAACTACACACGTGCATGTTCTCTGGTGAATGCGTTTACTCATTACTACTAATCGCGCCTGTCACGCCGTTTTAACTCGGCTAGAATAGAAAAGCATGTCGGGCTGTGACCGGCGCAGTGCTTTAAACTTGTTTAAAGTGCACTTTGGCCTATGTCTGAGTGACTGTCAATGTTGTAAGCCTTGTTTGAAAAATGCTTGAGAGTGGATCGATCTTCATGTGTAAGTTCTCAAATCTTGAACCCGGTGCAGGGAAGTCTAGGAGTTGTTCTAACTAGAAAGGGGTTAGAATCGGGATATCATCTAATCATGGGATGGCCGATCCAGACGTTAGAGTTTTATGTACCTCTAAAAACGTTTCCAGCAGCTGATAAGTGTGTATCGTATCACGAATGGCCAGTTCAACTTTTTGTTCCTTTCTGAACGTCAACAAGTGACTGTGCACTTTTATTTCGACTTGCAGTTTCTGCTTATTTATGTTTTCAATGCAGTTTTTTGCTTTCATTTCACTCACATTTAATATTTGCCCACTTTGATAATAAGATTTGTTTTTGATTGTTGTTCACTTGTTCTTGGCTCTCCATGTCCACGTCTAACCATATAGGTAAACAGATAGATAGGTTGTTTCAATATAATTGTGTTTTTCATTGAGGAAAAAGTTCGTATTCAGGTGGAAAAAGCAAGTCAGTAGAATTGGAGGATGTTAAATTTCATCAGTGTGTTCGACTTTCACGATTTGACAATGATAGAACGATTTCTTTCATTCCACCCGACGGTGCTTTTGAGCTTATGAGCTATCGTCTCACAACAGTCGTCAAACCGCTGATATGGATTGAAACAAACATTGAGAGGCACTCGCATTCGCGGGTTGAATTCATGATCAAGGTAAAGTTTATTTTTGTTGGTCATTAGCATTTGACCTTTCGAACTTCCTGAGTTAGGTTTTTCATAAGAAATGATTTGTAACATCTGTTCCGAACCAATGCAGAGTAATAGCAATGTAGTAATAACAATTTGTGGCAAATAATTTGTGTGCTACCAGTGGTATGATTCTGAGCTTTTTAGGCTAAATCGCAGTTCAAGCGGCGCTCCACTGCAAACAACGTGGAAATCATCATTCCTGTACCGTCGGATGCCGATTCCCCAAAATTCAAGACAAGTATTGGAGCAGTACGCTATGCACCAGAGCAAAGCGCATTTCGTTTGGACAATAAAGAGTTTTCCAGGTGAGAGTTGGTAATTTTTCATCGATACCAATTTTTAGTTGCAAAAATAATTACACCACAATCGGTGACGAGATGAATTTTTTAGGTGGCAAAGAGTATTTGCTGAGTGCACATTTCTCACTGCCATCGGTAGTCGGAGAAGAAGTGGAAGGAAGGCCTCCAATTAAAGTGAAATTTGAGATCCCATATTTCACAACTTCGGGAATTCAGGTTCTACTTTCACGTTTTTGTGTTTTTTTTTTTTTAATTTACGAAGAAACGAATTCCCTCTTCTTCTTGGACAGAATTGGTCAGATCTGGAGGGTTAATGGCGAAGTAATCAATGATACTAGGGAGCAAAGGCAGCAAGTTAAAATTGTGTGTGTTTATGCAAAACATGGGCTAAGTTGAGTTGTTGAGTAAGAGTTTGGGTGGATTGAAAGGGTAAGTCTTGAACCTATATAACGAGAGTAGTGTTTTAAAATTTGCCTTTTTGTTCCGGGTTTTTTGCTAGACTTGGTGCCCGTTAACTCGAACCCATTCCGATTTTTTCCCACCCTTTTCTAGCAAAATGTTTTATCTTGATTTGGGAACTAAGTTAATCCTTTCCCTGCGCGGTCTCTCTTCGAGATTCAACGGTTCACTTCTTATCCATACTTCCTCGTGTATTATGGGCTTGATTGTGACCCTCGCAATGAAACCATAGGACTAGGAATAACCATAGGATCTTGGGTCCTTAAGGAGCAGTTTGACGGAACGGAGGTTGTATGGGAGGAAGCATAAAGCTCACGTTGAGAATGCACACTTATTCAGTGTCTGTTACTATTTTGATTATGAGGGCACCCTGAAAACAAGCTTTTCAATGAAATTGGAATGAATAATGATGGCTTTCTAGGTTCGCTACTTGAAAATCATAGAGAAGAGTGGTTATCAAGCTTTACCATGGGTTCGATATATAACACAAAATGGCGAATATCAAATGAGGATGAAATAATTCGGTTTGATAAGGATATTTTTGTACCATTTTCTAGTAATTCTATGTGATGCTTAATTTTTTCATCTCATTCACTCCATAATTTTCTTATCACATGCTGTTGTGTTTTATTTATTGGGAAACCCAAACGAGATTCATGTTACGGTGGCTGGATCAGTCCAGAACAACAACTTCTTCTTTCACAAGTTTTCTTTGTTCTCTTATTTTCTTACACATTTCAATGGATGTTCAGTTCTCCCTCAGTTGCGTTCCTTTCCCTTGATTGAGATTATCAAAATACTTCCCGAGAATCAAATACATTTCCGCACAGATTGTGATATTTTCTCTTGCTCTTTTTATTTATTCCTTCTTTATTAGTTCCTACTTTCAAGTATTTTTGGTATGTTTTTATATGCTCTGCTTTCGATTTCATTATCGCTTCTTTGCATCGTTATGTTTTTAGGTCTCGCTTTTGCATAATTTATTATTTTCGCGAATCTCGGTTTCTTACAGTGTTTTATCAAGCTTTTCGTGTTGATGTTGCGTATCTGCTTTTTAGCAGGGTAATACTATCTGATACATTCATTCTCATTTAAGCTGTGTGTCATCCTTTCAAAAGTATTTACTTCTCGGAAACCATGCAGGGTACCTGGACTGTTTTACTTCTATCCTACCACCCCCTCACGCACACCCTCCCATAAGCGACTGAATACTTTCAGTTCTCGAAAACGCTAATTAGTCAGAGGCACTAATTACGCTGGCCGGAACTGCAGTGAGCTTTCCATTGTGAGAATGGCCTTATAATCATAGGACCTATCTGGGGACAGTCGGAGGCTATCTAAGGGATTCACTTTTTAGGCGACGACAGCGCCTTGGTTTTTTTGTTAGCCGCGACCAGTGCGGTTTTCGGAGCTCGATAGCTGTGGTGCTATGTCGAATCACGAAGCTGCGTATACAACACCTGGGGGAGGGATAGCGTACGTACCTTTATAACTACAGAAACCACTTTCAGCTCTCATGTCATCTCATGGTTTTCGATGAGTGTAAATCTTGAACAGTTTGAGCATGTTTTGTAATTTTTTTGTACTTTTCAATTCAAGATAAACTGTTTTAATTGAAAGTTGGTAATTTGTTTACGAAGGTCAGCTATCGACTTGTATTTGGCAACTTTCATGTTTATGTAGTGAAATGTCTTTCTCATACTGTCGTACTTTCATATTTCTTCTTCGCAAGTTTTCATTTACTTTTTTGTCGTTTCTAGAATGCGACGTGGTTACACAATGTGCGCGTCGACATCGCAGTTTTTTCGACATATTTGGTCGGCGAAACCGGCTTGTTCCACGACAGAAATGGTAGTTTAGTTGATTTTGTCGCTTTTACATATTGACGTTTGAAATTCCTTTAATTGCATCGTTCGTCTACGATAAAAACTGTAGCAGTGTTCGGCCCTACAGAGCCTGTTTTCAGTAATCGTAGCAGTGATTCTTTCAGTGTTTTTACATACCCGTAGACAGCATTTTTGGAGTATTGACCATTGTAATTTTGAAGCAGGAAATTGTGCTGTCATAAAACTGGTTCTGATTTTCATCGCACACGAAGAGGTGTTCTAGGTGTTATCGCCAAGACGGCCTACAATTTCTTCCACTCAGTTTGTCGCCAATCTGTCTACAGTATCTGGCACGAGTCGGGTTGATGGCGAACCGACCAATTACGCTCCTGATGATCTAGTGCCAGGTCCAAGCATGTTAAAACGGATTGTGTCGGAGTTAGGAAACGTTGGCACAACATTCATTTTACCGCTGGCTGATACGGAGGCTATGCAACAATTGGCGCGACCACTACGGTCCTTAGTAAGTATTGGTAAGTTTCATGTGGTTTCTTACCAACCTGTGGAATGTTTTTGTTTCTTCTTAAGGTGTGAAGCCTGAATTTGTAATTGATGCATGTACAAAGAATCCTGACTTGTTTCGCAATCTGACAACAAAAGGAGACGATGCTTGGCAAGTGGGTAGTTTTGATATTTTGAAGTACTCTCTGTTCTTGCTGGCGGGCATCTTCTTGGGTTTAATAAAGGATAAAGCATTTGCCGTTGATCAATCCCTTTTTGGGATGCGGCACGCATTCTACTTCCATTTGTACATTCGTAGTGGCGTTTGAATGCGATGTGGCCTATACAATGACTTGCGGGGGCCAGCCGATGTACAAGTCAGTGTTTTTATCCTCCCAGACAAGTCTGGTACCAATTAACCGACCCCGGAGGGATGGAAGGCTTGGTTGGCCCGGGCGACTCACGACCCAGGATTTGATCCCCGGACCGCTCGCGTGGTAAGCGTGCCACTTGCCACTACACCACTTCCGCCCTCTTCTTTTTACGGTGAAAAAGATGCTCGAGTGGTCTAGGGGAACTTTCATATACAGTGGGAGTAAGGAGCTGATTCATTGCTTTCCGATAGAAAGAGGGTGTCCAATTAATCAACAAGACAAAATGTAATGTTTGAGTCTTGAGCTCCGTGATCGGGAATTCAGCTGTCTATGATGGTAAATATCTCGAAAACGGTGTCCAAAATGTCTAAGTTCGTTGCTGCTCCGTGTCTTGTGGTATGGTAGTCAGCAACAGGTTGGGACTAATCTCAGGGCTAGAAGTGCATTCCATGATTGCACGGCTGTGGTGATTCACAAATGGAAGTGAAGATGCGAGAAATATCTCCTTTTGGAGGCAATTAGCTCGAGAGACACTTGATCGCCAAAGCGAGAGAATAGGCTCGGAGAAAAATAGCATAGGGTACGAGCAAGACACACACGCATTGTCACTCTCACCGCGCGATTTGATTCTTGCATGTGGCATCTAGCCCTGCGGATGCGGACCTGTCTACAACGCCTACTGGAAAAAATACTTTCTCGTTCTTCGTTTTTTCATATTATCATGCGATACGACCTTCAATTGCATCTCAACCATTTCAAGGTACAATCTGGGTGGGTTAGACGTTTCCGCTTCAGAAGACATGTCCGTAAATCAGTGAGGCTAGCGTGCGATCCATTGTAACTTACGTCAAGGGTATTTCAAACCTGACGCAGGTCCTGGGTGTCTAAGATTCTAGAAGAAGCTTTCGACATTTTTGGGTCTTATGTGCTTCTTGAGGTGGGAACTGGAATTGTTGTTGCATGTTATTTATATACGACATTAATGTTAAGTTCAATATTTTCTGGTTCTCTTGTTCCAATGTTTTCATTACTATGCAACAAATATAACAAAATTACATAAAAGTCCAAAGGGAAAGTTTGATAAATCTAAGCTTACTTTCTAGAACCTCATTGAATAGTAGTTGAATACCGTGTACATGGTAGATAGTTCAATACTGTTTTCTTTTTGCTGCGCGGAAAATTGATGAGCTTTTGGACCGCTTGGCAACAGCTATCAGTTTCCTTTCTATAACCAAGAAATCGTTCAGCTTGTCGAGAAATTTGAAAGTTCCGTGGGCTGATTATTTTTAGACAACGTATGGAATATTATGAGTTAGTCAGCTGCTCCACTGAGTTGGAGCAGCAACTCCAGCAGAAGTCGTGTCGAAAAACCTATTCAGTGGGTGGGACCGCGTAATCTTACGGGTATCGCCGTACTCGCGTCTCGAAAATGCGCAACAATGGCATTGCGGCTTCACTTATGGCGACCAGTCTTAGCCTGTGAGGGAGATCTCGCGCTTTCCCCTCACGCTACATGGATTACGACTAGCTAATCAGATAGCCGTTGGTAGGCAAATATGGTAGACTCATTCCATTGATGCGGTGCGTCTAAAAGGTCTAGACATGTTCTTTCCACGCCATCACTATCAATCGCTGTTAGCCCTACAATTTGGACTGGGGTTATTGCTTCAATACTCAGTTGTTGCTGCCTCTATTCACGCTGAAGAATTCTCACAATCACTCACTGTTTAGTTTGCGGGAGGAAAAACAGGTGAAAGGTTGACAGTAGGTGCGTAGATCCTCACAGATCTTGTGATATGTAATGGTGGCTGATTTAGAAACCAGGTGATCAGAATTTTTAGCTTTCGAATAAAAATTCCAAGGAACATTCATTGCACTCTACATGTGTCTGGGAATGCTATGCTATAGAAATGTCACTCTAAATTCAAAAGTGAATTACAGGGGAGAATATGTGTCAAACGCGGGAACTAACCCCCCGTATAAGGTTAGCCTTTTAAACGAAACTTTTAACTCCATCAGTCTGATATCTGCTGTACTATCGTTTCTGTGAGCTGATTCCGCTGATTTAGGGAGGTACGGTACTTTATCTGCCTATTAATTATGTGATGACTTAGCTGGTCTCGAAGTCTCGTAGGGTAGGAGACATTTGGTCGGATAAGTCATGAATTGGTTTCCACCTTTTTAGGCTCCGAAGAAGGCGAAAGCCGCCGAAACGTTAGCTGACTGAGCCATTATCAACCTCGCGTGCTATTGAAGAAATAAAATTGTGTTATCACCCCTAATCATTGCCTAAAATGCGAGATACTCTTTTCTTCAACATTTATCTGCTTTTTAGATTCTAAATGTGCTTGTGGATTCTTGTGGAATGACGTATGAGGACTCGCTGAGGATGTTCGCCAGGTATGCATTCATTCGTTTCCGTTTCAAATTGCTTCACCATTCAAAAAGCCGAACCTGAAATGGTACTAGTTTTGGAGAAACGACGTCAGTACTTTTTATAATTGGCGTCGATGTGTGACTGGAAACTCACAAAGGAGTCAAATTTATGTGGAATAGTTGGGCAGTCAGAAATTATGAATTCTTCTCCACTAGCCCTGTTATCTATTATGGCTTTTTTACGGTTCACGTCAGCTGTTTTTATGTTGCTTATCGATATCGTATCAATGTCCGTCGGTTGCACTTTATGTCGCCGCATTTGCAACGAATTCGTATAATAGTTTTGTGCTCCTTATTGGTGTCTTATTGGTGATTTGATGTGATTCTAATAGAATTCATCTCAAAAGTGCATTCTAATATCAAGGTCATAGGGGCAGTATGAAATAATAGGAACGACTCGATACTTGAAACCTTAACCCGTACTTCTCTCCGTCTGTGCTAAATGGTATAATTGGCTAAATGTTTTTTTTTAACTCGAAGTAAGTTTTCATGAAATATTGGTCGTGATCCTTGGCGTGAAGCAAACAGGGGTTTCTTAGAATCGTGAAAGCATTTTGATACATACCCGGGCTAGATAATGGTTCGCGTAGGCTAACTGATGTTCAGATTGCGATTTCGGTCTTTCAACACAAGGATGGAAACATTCACATGCCACTCGAGCTCTTTTTGAGAGACGGAAGTCTTCGTTACCTTTGATGGAATCAGTCCTCAAATGCGCTTGTGTATACCGTGGTTGCATGATATTCGAAGGTGGCTAACGCCAGCCTGCTTCCACGCGCATGGGTTAAAGGGCGATCCTTGGATGAATTCTTGCAAGAGCCAACCAGGCCTTCAATTCCTTCGAAGCCGGTGAGTTGGTAACTAAAAGCTCGTCTAGTTGGTAAATCGTCTATCTGTGCATTGCATCCTGATAATCATCGTGTTTGCTAAATCACAATCAAATGCCACTACGATTGTGGAGGGGTCTCTAGCACACCTCACAACTCAAAAAATCGAGGGATAGATCGGTGTCGAATGCTCTGTCTTTTGTTTTAGGAGATATTCTCGTTCATTTCGGCTTTAAAACATCGACAAAACTGCTTCAAAACAGTTGTCATCCCGGGCTGAACAGCGAAAGGGAAGGTACCAAATAACACTTATAGGCCATGGGGCCAAATGTTCCATCAAAGCACTTATCCACCAGAGAGAGCTCAGAGCCAGCTGGCGCTTTGCATGTGAGGACGAAACCGATTTGAAGCTTGGGTGTCACAGTCTAGTAGTGTGCATGTGTAGCAATAACATATCCAAATGCATTCACGATAACGAAAGCAAGTTCACTTCGTAGGAATTTCCACGTATTTTGGTCATATTTTCCGAGAAAGATGTCGTTTTATTGAAGATCTCAGTGAAATCATCCGTAGTTTTCTGGAAAGAGGGTTTACATGAATTCTCAAAATTTATTACTGTTTCACTTCTTGCTGTCATGAATGTGAATACTCAAATCGGTAGAGATCGGAAACCTTCAAAAGAAATACTCGGTTCCGTTCATAAATATGGAACCGAAACCATGATGATGAACTGTTTTCAATCAAAAACCCCCATGTCATCTAATTTTAGTGGTTGTAGTAACTTCCGAAAATTTGAAATATTCATGGACGCGAGCCTAAAGGAACAACTTTGATTCGGGACAGAAACGTTTCTGAATTAGATCTGCTCTTTGTTCCCTCAGAATTTTTGTGAGATTCCATATTCTGACGTTATGAATCAGTATTAAAATAAACAAGTAAATAAATATAGTAAATGAACTTTGTGTTTCAGCTACGGAGATGATCTGCTCGTATGCTCGCCAATTGGTGTTCAGTCCCGATTGGATGTGCTGGTGGCAAGTGGTATACCGGCAGGAAGAAGCTGTGGGCGAATTGTTCGTAGGTGTCCGGCAATACTTTTTGCCCGAGATCCAAAGGAGATGACCAGTGTAGCAGAGGCTCTGTGTGGATTCTTCTCGAGGAAGGAGGTAATAGTTGATACGAAATAAGAACCATCAGTTTCTATGTGCAACCTTGAGAACACTCATGAGAGTAAGCATTAGTATTTTCCAGGTTTCCGCTATCATTCAAGCAGTACCTGAGGTGTTGTTAAAAAATATTGAAGAACTGGAGGAAAAGTATGAATACATCTTCTTTCAGGTGAGGTCGAGTTTAATATTGAGCTGTAAAGTACCGTGCTTTTCATTCGAAGTGTAACGCGTTCTCCATTCCCTTTCAAAGTTATCGAAAGGCTTGGACCATGAAGTGGCCTTATACGGAGAGTTGCATTGCAAGCCATCGATGCAGTCTGAGTAGGGGGCTCCAGAGGAATGGGAGTCTGATTAGCGTGGCTTCAAACGTTTGTAAACGTGTGTGAATTGAAGGGTGCTCGAAGCGAGGCAGTGGCAAGGGAAGCCGCTGTCACACGCATGACTTTGCATGGGGTCTCTTATGGGCCAAATACATTCGAACGACGTTATCTAGTTATTCGAGACTTTGGATGTCCATTCCACGGGGATCTCTGTGTATAGGTTGAAGCTTTCCACAAAGGTAGAAAATGTTGAGCCGTCACT